TCGCAGTAGAGTGGTCAACGTTCCCGACCTGCGGCTCTAATCAGACGCAGTCGCTGTGGATGTAGGGACGGGCAGATCATGTCTGTAATCTGGGATCTTCACCCACGTCGCTGAGGGTCACGGTCGGAGCCGGAGCCGAGGCTTGTGGGCATCGAACAGATGTAAAGATGGGGTAAATCCCTGGGGGCAAAAAAAAAAAAAATCCAGGGTAAAGACAGGCTACAGACAACAGTGTTCTCTCTCACTTTAATGTCTAGGGTTAGTTAGGCTAACAGTTAGCGTTAGCGTGCGTTTAGTTCTGTGGACGACGGTATTCATTACCACTACACCACTGTGTCGACCAATGAGAGCATTACGATAGCATTACGGGCGTTTCAAGGGTCCCTTGAACGTAAGAATTTTTTTTCATAGCAATACATGGGGCACCAAATTTCTGGCAGCGCCCCCTAGCGTTGCTCGCATGAACTGGAGCAGAAAAGAACTAGGTTTCAATTTTTAAATTTTTTTCCCAATTTTTTCTTAACTGTGTTTTATTTGAATATCACAGCATGAGTGAATGCAAAATAACATATTGTGTTTTTTATGTGGGACCAGGTTCCATATTTTTAAGGCAAAATAATGTAAGTGGAAAAACTACATAAATTTCCTTGTGTATTTTCAGAATCTACAGTCGGTTCCTGTTCTGTGTCTCCATCAGTTTCGAGGCTCCCTGGTCTGAAACCGGTTGGAGATGATGAATCTGGACACACTTTCACACACTTACACCTGACTCCACAGGGGACGTGTGTAAAAAACAAAACAAAACAAAACCATCCACTCAAGTTGACACCTGTAGATCGTGGCTGCGTGAAGAACACAACATCAGTCTGAGTCTGAAGATCACCGATTCTGTCAAGGAAGGAAAAAAAAAAAAAAAAAAGACAGGAACTGGAGCGGACCACAGTAGGATGGAGGGAGGGACTACAAGTCTGCTTATTATTCCGTCCTCTGTGGGAGTGTGGCTCCGAGCAGGTACCGCGGCTCAGCTGGCTCTCACTCCTGACTGACTGACTGACTGACTGTCCGGCCGGCGACGCTGCACTTGAGAGGAAACTTCTCACTCCACACTCGGTGAGTTCAAGTCTTTTCAATCTTAAAGTTGTTACTGTCAGAATCCACGAGTCACTCATACGGTCGACCGGAGGAACAGGCGCCGTCACCGCGATTCACCGCGATCCCTGGATGCGCAAATGTGGAAAGTAGAAATTGTTTAGTTTTGTGTTTTTTTTTCTAGCGTCACTTAGTTACGAAGACGAGCTGGGTTTTTTTTATCACTGGATTTCTGTACAATTAAACCGAGTCACGGAAACATCCATTCATTTTCTTTCACTTTAATTTTTTTTTTTCATTCAAAATTTAACTTAAAACTACTATTCTCTTCAAAGCTTCACTAGTTTATCTGGGCTCAAAACGTCCCCAAATCAAACGATGAGGTCATCGATAACTTCATGTTTTATAATACAACAGTAATATTTACCCACCATGCAACAGATGTTTCAGTTCACTGTCACTGCCTTGTTTAAAAAAAATGTGATAAAATGATCAGATTTGTTCAGTCTCAGTCAGATCTCCTGCAGAACATGATTGACAGGAGTCATCTGCAGATTATTCATCATGTGTTTAGTCAAACTGGAGATCAGAGTTTTTCTTTTCCTCTCTGAACATCTGCAGCCATTGAGCTGTGCAACCACCCCCCCTGTCTGTCTGACTGTCTGTCTGTCTGTCTGACTGTCAGCAGCTGCCACAAACCAACTCTTCCCAATTGCTTTACATATGAATGTGAGGAAAGTAAGTCCTTCATGTTGCTGCTGCTGCTGCTGCTGCTGCTGCTGCTGCCGCCCAGAAATATACAGCGTTCCCTGACTGTAATCCTGTGGCTGTAATTTCGGGCTCTTGTGTTGACGTTGTCTCATGTAAATGATGTTAAATGATAAGCAAAGGGTGTAGGAGGAGTGGGAGGAAGAGGAAGGAGGAAGGAGGAGGAGGAGGAGGGAGATAGGGAGGAGTGTGAGGTTTTGGTTTTAGAATGAAGGGTGAGGAGGGTGAGGAGGGAGGAACGGGACTGAGGAGCAGATCGGTGTTCTGTGTTTGAACGGTCGGCTGAAAAATATGCAACAACAACGTTAATGATGAATAAAGGAAAACTTTCCTCCTCCTCCTCCTCCTCCTCCTCTTCCTCCTGCTGCGATGCTGGAGTTACAGGTTGTTAAAACTCAGCTCAAATTTCTACCCCTGCCGCCCCCCCCCACCCCTCTGCCTCCTCTGTCTTCTTGCTTTATCTCATTTATTTTCCCTGTAACACACACACACACACACACACACAGAGAGAGAGAGAGTACATGTGTAAACAGTGAGGTGATGGATCGCTCGCTCCACCCTGACGCGTCTGTTTGTGTGATCATCTCTTCAGGAGCCCCAGCTTCTCCTGTCCACCGTGTCCATGATGAGTTACTACATGGATCCAGTTTCTTCCTACCCAGCCCTTCACCCCTGTGACCGTCTGGGTGCAATGGTAAGACCTCACCCATAAATTACCTCAGCGTTAGGGCTGCCTGGGCTGCCTGCCCCACAGCTGGGCAGAAGTGATGGCTGTGTGTGTGTGTGTTTGTTGTGTGTGTGTTTGCAACTGTGACTTTTCTTGAATGTCAACACTGAGTTGAGTTGCCGCCTCTCTGTATGTACACACTGTTCCCTGTCACTTCATCCAATATTAGGCAACAAGGACATTTTTTTTTTTTGACCACTAATGTGAAATTGCCCTCATGAACTCAGCTGGTGTTGCACAAGCAGCTGATCCACTTCCTTACAGCCGGTGATGTTCTGTACACTGAGATATCAGGCCTTCCGTCTTTGCCATTAACCGACAGCGTCACAGACCGACCGTATCTGCCAAATTACGCCATCCTCGGTCGAGCCGCACACACGCACGCACGCACGTGCCTGTTTTCCGACGTCGGCGAGAACATCACGGTTTCCAAATGAGAGAGCGGAACACAGAGTCAGAGACGGCGGCGGCTGGGAACATTGGGATTCCTGTCAGGAGAGCATTCGAAGGGTTCAAGGCCAAGGAGCGGCGAAATAAATGCCTCCATTTGTATGCAGAACGCTGGCGTATTAGGATAAGAGAGCGGGGTTATATGTAAATGGCAACCTGACCCTGGCCTGGTAGACAACACGGGAGGATGCAGCTCCCCGGCTCCTAATTGGCTCAGGTGCTGGGGCTTGCCTTTGAAATTGAGACTTCTTTATACCAAGACAGACTTGGTCGAACGATGACCCCCGGGTCACCGCTGGTGGATCTATTG